ATATAGAGGAGAGAGGGTTTTTGGTAAGTAAGGTATACTCTAAAAATAAAAACTCATTAACTGATAATTCATAAATGCTTTTATCAGTATTTAAAACTGAAATTAAAAAAGATATGGTAGACTCAAGAATTTTCAATGTATATTAGCATGTTTATGTAAAATTCTTATATCTTAATGTTTATTTTTAAATATCTTTTTATCAATGGATATTCTGAGAACCTGAACAGCAGCTAAAAACTTGAATACATGTTTTTGATGTGCAACATTTGTTTAATAAAGGGTGATTTTATTCCCTTTCCAGCTTGTGATTTCATGTTTTCCCGGAACAAAAGAAGCTAAGGTTGTAAAAATGTTAAGTACTCTAGCAATAAGTAGAAATTAATTTTGTTATATAATGATTTCAGAGTTTATCACATCACTTTGGCTTCAAGTATCCAGAATATATTCATTCTGATTAACTCCCATAAAGGTTAAAGTTATGTGAGGCAGAAATTAGCATCAAGCGGTTCAAGGCAGGCCAATAACAACTACAAATACTACAGTATGGAAGACACCTGACATATGCTAACTTTACTGTCCCATGTGTTCAGCTTAATTTTTGAAGCAATTCATTTCCTCTGGTGGTATGATACATATATACATGCTGTACACCTGAGCATGCCCAGTGGCAGTGGTATGTCTGCGGACTTACAACGCTAGAATCCGGGTTTCGATACCCTTGGTGGGCAGAGAACAGATAGCCAATTGTGTAGCTTTGTGCTTAATTACAAACAAACAAACACCTGAGCAACAAAAAATTAATTTGAAGACGTTTTTCCAAGCCTTTCCAAGGACCAAATATGTGCCCAAGTCTAAATACTAAAGAACCTCCTAAGTTCCCAGTTTTTAGTTTAATTTTTATTTTCAAACTCAAAAACTGTGGAAGATATTCATGAATTGTCCTTTTAACCTGCATATTTAAAAAAATCATCTCAAAAGCACATTATTTTAACTTAAAAGTGAATATTATGTAATCAATATTTTCAACATTTGCACGTGCACATACAAACTCGCACGTTATCATCTAAACATTACCTTAAACATCTCTGAGTATAACAAGTTGACCCCATTCCCTAAACCTTAGGTTAAATTCTGTCAAATAAATGCATTATCTGTAGTTTGTACTTCAATGCATCAATAACATTTAAGAAACCCGTTTCTTTGATTCTAAACATTAATCGTATATCTATATAGTTTAGTTTATTTTAAAAGTAGAACAATTAATCAGCTATGATGACATATTCTACTTTTAATTTCAAGGTTAAGTAAGGAGTGGAAGTTGCTGTTGTGCAGAGTTGACAGAATTGTGGTTGTCAAAAAGTATGATTAGTGTATAGCAAAAAAAAATTATATCTATTTTAGACAATGTTTCAAGATGTGAGTGGTTTTGGAGCTTGGCATCGTTGTTGGTATGTGTTACAGGGCAACTACATGGCCTATTGGAAGTATCCTGATGATGAAAAAATAAAGGTAACAAAAAATGTACTTAGCATTCCAGTTGTTTAAAAATAGTACAATAACTTAGAGGGGACAATACCAGATTATTGTCTACGATATGAAACTTAAGTATTAATTGCATTTTTTGAAACTAATAAAGCACTCCAGATATCCATTCAGTAATAATAAAACTTAGTGAAACATGCAGTGATAAATTTCTCTCCATACAATCCTATCCAGTTACATGTACAAGTATAGTGCGACTACCTCTTCCAATCATCTATAAGTTTCTATGGTAAACCTAAACACTTTTACAGTGTTGACTTGCTGTTAGCAAGAAACTAATGATCATGTTTCTTACACAACATTTATGAAGGTTACTATGTAGTCTTGCGGCTTTAAGCATTAATAGCATTTCCAGGATTGCTATTGAAAATAATTAAAGTAATCATTTCCCCTAGCAGAACCAATTTTTCTTTTTTCTGTTAAGATACTGTAATTGACATTCAAGCTGAAAATACCAAATACATATTTCATGCTAATATTAAATATCTTAATATTGAGATATGAAGAAACATTCAGTTACTGTATTTAATAATTTTTCCTTAAACACAGATGTTTCATTTCCAATTCTGTTAAATATTTTAGTACCTAAAATGTAAATTACAGGTACATAGGTGGTGCATTTCCAAGTATGATTAACTGATTGTAAATTATTTACAATTAATGTCTTAGAATGTTAATTTGCTAAATGCTTACATCTGCTATTACATAGCACTTAATCTCTGACATTGGTGCTGTCACAAACTTAATTTCAAATAGAAAATGTTCTTATAATCAACTATGTAAAATTTTTATGAATGCTCATAAAAAATCAGTTTTTTTATCAATTTTGCTGCTTTAATTTTTTGTGTGACTAATTTGCTTTTGTTTTTTGTAGGAAGATGTTGAACTATGTATTAAGTCATCTCTTAAAGATGTAGTGTTAGTGAAGTTTGTTTTATTCAAACTTTCATTGAATATTTTAAGTGTTTTTTTCTAAACTTGGTAAAAGATTTTGTTTCTAACAGGAACCTGTTGGATCTCTTGATCTGAGGCACTGTGTCACACCCCATGTAGGGCTTGTTTCTCGAGATATTTGTGCTAGACCTCACACCTTTCAACTTGTAATTGTTAGGCCTCACGAGAAAGGTGATCGTGACACTTTAATATCTCGCATTCACAAAACTATCACATCCACAAAGTAGGTTATGTTTTCTTGTTTTTATAATCTTTTAATTTCTCGCATAGATTCTCAAATTCCATAGTAATTCTTTTTACAGTGATAAATTAGCCAACTAATGAAACTTGTATAGTATTTATTATTTCTAGAAATTCTAACTTACAGTCTTGGAAAAATTGATAAATAAAATGATTTTTGTAACTCTACACAATTAAATTTATCTTATAAATAATTAACAAGTTAAAAGGAAGAACTGTCTTAAAGTAGAAATATCTGTCTGAACCTGCATTTACAGAATGGATTAATTTGAAATCAATTATTTCTTTTTAATTTCTTGATGGTTATAAATATTTTTAGACACTATACCTGAATTAATATTTTTTGTGTGATGTTATGTGGTCCAGACATCTCCTATCGGCTGATACAAAGGAAGAACGTATTCTATGGTGTACAAGGTTAAATGAGGCACTTAATAGCATCAGGAGGTGGGATCCACAGGCTCTACAGCCCACAGATTTTTGTCATGTGAAATAAAAGATCATATTAGTACTTTAATGGGTAATGGTGAAAGTATAAGTAGTGGTCTGTATTTACCTAATTACTAAGGTTTTCTCGTATATGAGAATATATAATGCATAATTTGGATAAATTCTATATAAATTAAAAAAATAACCATTCATTTATAATATATGTATATTAGTAACAAAAAAAGTGATATTTCTATCTCAATTATAAAACTTTTAAGATACTTTCAAAACTGAGCTTGCTTGTACATTTTGAAGTTTGTAGCATAAATGTAATTATATCAATAGTTACTCTGTTTTGTCAAGGTAAGAGCATCTGTGTAAGAAATAAATAATGAAGTGTTGAAAAATATGGTAGAAAAAGAAAGACACAGAACAAGAGTCTTTGCACACAATAAAGCAGAAAACTAGTTAATATTTTCTGTAGTTATTTGTATGTTTTTATTTGTGGAGATGACTGCTGTTTTCAACATATGTACAGTGGTTAAACAGTTGTATTTGTGATGTAAAGAACGAAAAGCTTCAAAAGTTTTAAAGTTTGGTTTAAACTCTTTTTGTTTCAACAGTACTAATTTGTATCATTAGGATGTTTAACCAGGATCTAAATGTGTGTGTATGTCCATTTTTGTAAATCTATGTACAAAATAAATTTCTTACTTGTATTTTAATTCCAAAATAGTCCCTCCCTACAAATTAGACCAACTATAGGACATTATTGAAGTTATAGATTTGAAACTTTTGTTTATTAAACTGAGTGTTTTTGTGAATATCTTCTGTTTAATCTTGTTCACAGCTTTTAACAATGATCAAGGAAATATTTAAGGTTTGTTTCTGACACTGATATCTGTAACTGCATACAATAAATATTTTCTAAAATTGGTTACTAAAATTATTTTACATGAATTGCACAGCTTCTTTTTTATTACAACTGTATACCTTGGAAGTTGCTTTTACTAAAAATAATTAACCTTCTAGAAACTGTATTTAACATAGTTATTTAGTTGTGTGCCTCTTCATTTGTCATAATAAACGTTAAAGTACCTGTGACATGGAGTATTTAAAAGATGAAGCTTGAAACAATGTACTTCAGTCATGTGCAATTAAATATTTATGAAAATTATCCAAATAAATTTCAGTTGCATTTTGGATTTTAATAGAGAGAGACTGATGAACAGTTGATTTTATTTAAACTTCTTATTCAACATACAAAAGCTTTAAAGTACCAAGTACACATGAAATATGTTTTGAAATATATTTTATCACTAAAAATATTTAAATATTCTCTTAGTAATATAGAAAATGCTTAACTTAATGAAAACTTAGGACCTTAGCCAGAATCAAGTGATCTTTAAAAAAATATATTAAAAGTTGTATAGAATTATCATTCTTTAATAGTTTTGTAGTACACGTGTAAAATTATGTCAAAAATTATAAAAATACACATTAAAATATGTTTTGTTTTTTGTGCATTTGACTATGAAGGGATAGTTAGTAATGGTTTTGTACAAAGTCCATAAATAAAACCACTAAAGGAACTTGTTTTGTTGTTCATGGATATCCTACACCAAAATTTCAGGCCATTATTCTTTGTGATCTCATACTTAATGCAATTAGTTCCCTAAGTATTGTATTGCTCAGAACTTTTTTGTCTAAAATTGGTAAATCAAAATAAACTAAGAGCTATCAAATATTCAATTGTTTAAAGTTAATTCAGAATACATGATTTTATTCAGTGTGCATCATTATTTTATTATGAAATGCTATTTATGTTCCATGCAGCACATTATAAATTTCATAAAATTTTAGAGAGACAAAAAAGGAGCTTATTAGCCAATCAGTGATGTCCCTTCCAGCTCCCAACTATAACCACCCCTTATTAATCATGTATTCAACCAATCTTTTTGTGAACTCAGTTAAATTCTCTGCCTCCACCACCCTTGAAAGAAGCTCATTCCAAAAACCATCCACCCTGTTTGAAAAGTATTACTGTCTAAACTACAGATGACTTCTATGCTGCCAAAACTTGAATTTATGACCCCTTGTCCTATTGTTTTCACTGCTAAACACAAGAAAGTTTGATGGATCTATATTATCAATACCCTTAATAATAATAAACACCTGAATAAAATCCCCTCTCCAGAAAGTTTAGATATTTTAATCTCTCCTCTTAGGACAATCCCACAATCCTAGTGGCTCTTCTCTGAACCTTAGTCTAATTAAAATGCATTTAAGTTCTTTATTGAAAATATCCAAATATAACAAGATACCACTGGTTTCATGCCCTCAATGTTAGGAAATCTAAATTGAAAACACCAAACTTCTAATATTTTGTCAGAAAAAGCATGGACACACATAAAACGTTGGCAAAGTATGCTACTAAACAATTATGGAATTTGGTGAGTTCAGTATGGAAATCATCAGTTAACATTGATTGCAGTAAATTTAATGATTATTCAGTATTTGACAGACAAAAATGTAGTTTCTAAATTTTGTTAGATTATAATTATATTTTCCTGATATATACTTTTTCAATGTTAACCAGTCATGAACTTTGACACCATGATGTCAATAAACTTTTGTTTTTACTTTTAGCTGAATTATAAGAGGCAGAAGTGACTTATGAATGAAAATAGCTCTTGACATAGATAATGCTTCATAATATAGAAAAAGTTTGGAACATCACAACTCAAAATCTTGCATTATTTAATAGACTATGAAACAATTTTCTTAGAATTTTACAAACATAGAAATACTTTTGTCAGTTCTGAAACTGCACATGTATACTATTTCTATGCAATACTGATGACAAGAAATTAATTTTTAAAATATATGTATTACATGTTTCTGTAGAAACAATAAAAAGTGTAGCATGGATTAAATTTCTTTATTTGAATGCAACCATGATAATAGAAACACAATAACATCCACTACAAAGGCAGAAAAGTTATTTATATATATAAATTTCACAGATAAAATGAATGATAAACAAAATTCTATTGCTCTAGAAACTTTAGAGAAGGCTAACAAAACATTCTAGTCCTCCGCGAAGAGCTAGCACTAGATGGAGCACTGACCCTCCTGTAACCTTATAGTCAGCTGCTGTTTTGTCATCATTCCTGTAAAAAAAAATATCTACCAATTATTCCTGGGTTTCATGTTATAACCAACAACAATTCTCTACCAGCTTTTATCAACCTTCATGACAAAAAAACAGTGAAAAAAAAGTAATAAAACAGCTTTCAGTACTGTAACATTTTTTTAATAATGAGAACTAAATAATACCTGTCAGTACTACAACTTTTTTTTTAGTATTTTATTAACAGGCCCTCATGAGCCAGCGGAGGACATTTTTGTTGAAAAAAATTACCCAATCCTGTTTTTCTTAATTTAAACCAACATTTTTTGGACATTTTTATTGGCTAAAAAGAAGGCATTTGCCACACTCTTTTAGCATTGGGGCTATAAAAAGTGATTTGAAGTGGTAAGGTGACTGAAATCTGTCAGTGTATCGCAAGCTTAACAGCCAAGATCAAGAAGCATGGAAGTCCCCAAATGACACACAGAGGTATTCAGGAACTGTTTAGAACCACCTTGGTAGATATTGTGCAGCAAACTGAGTACAATATTATGCCTGTACCTGCTTTCAAAGTGTTCCTGTCTGTTCATCCTACTGCTGACTGTCATGATGCTTCAACCTTCCCTATCCAATCACAAGTAAAATTGTTCGTATCTCAATTCAAAGCTAAACCTGAAAAGGTGATAGCAGAAGCATTTAAGGCTGGCACTTGCCTAATTAATGATGCTGAGAATGTGGCTTTATTGATATATATACTGAATTTACTTCCAGCAGGTAAATCTTGGTACTAGCTAGTATGGAGACTTGAGGATGCTGTATTTCACTTAAAAATTTCTCACTTAATAAAGGAAAACTTCTTTGGGAGTTTCCGGATTGAACTTATTTTTAATCAACAATTTGTAGTGTAAAGACACCTCTTAGCTCCTGAGGGACTTGTTAACATTATTTTTAAGTATTTAAAACTTTGATGGTATTGGTTAAATTTTCAAGGATTCCCCTCCGATTTCTGGTATGTAAAAATGTGCTAGCATGGTTACTGATAAGTCGATAACTTCTTATAACATTTGATGAAGTTGTGGTCAATCCTTACCTAACTTCAAGCCAATTAACACATATCAAAAACAAAATAGCTACAGAAGTTTCATTCAGAAATAATAAGACTTATCTTACAGTAACTATCAAAGTAAAGAAGATTCAGTTACTTTCACTGTATAAGATTAAATAAGGTAAACCTACTAAAAATACTTTATAAACAGTGAATATAAAGGAACTTAACTAAAAATGTTCCTCATTATTATCTTAAATATACAATATACTTGTCTATCAACACCTATATTAGATTAAAACTGATATTTTACACACTGATTCTATGTAGTCTTTAGCTTTATACTTTAGAAACTGATTATATGTAACTGTATTTGTGTACAAGTCAGAATGCACTAGTAAACTTGTAAATGAATTAGAAATGCGAAAAAAAAAAATATTTGGTAGTTTTAGGATTGGCAATATCATTATTACCAAGCTAGTACAAAAAGAGTAAATTTCCTGAAACTTTTTTTAGTATTAATAGTACATACATAAGATGTATAATATGAAAGGAGGTAATTTTTTTACCCTAAAGCCGGGAGTTAACTGCATGGAAATTAGTTTCATTTCTAGGTCATCACAATATCTGGCAAAAGATGAAAAGCCTAAAATTGCCTTTCAACATTAATTTAGTATTAGAGCTTTTGAATAATACAAATTTTGTGCTTGTGAGTTTATTTCTTGCAGAAAAAAATCTTCATCCAAAAATAAGTTAATATTTTGGGGAAAGCCCAATGCCTTTTTTAGCAAAGCAATTTAGCTACAAAAGTCATGTTTTCAATACTACTCTGGTAAATGTATGCAGGAAGAATGTCCAAAAGTCATGTTTACCAAATTCTCACTTGCAAGTGCAAGAATGGAAGATAGGATGTTTGCATGAAATACAAATGTTCATGATGTCAGAAAAACATGTAGGTTCAAGATGTATTAATATAAAAACCCTATAACTCAAGCACTTTGGGAAAGATGAACCTTTCTTCTTCAGGATTTCCTGCTGAAGTTGAAGGATCAGTGGGAGGGGCACTCAAAAATCTTAGAATCTAATCAAAAGATGATTAGAAAACGGCGAGGCAGAAGGAACAGTAAGGACACGATCCTTTGTAACCACTTTCAATGACTTAGTTCATTCAGTGATTGACAAAATTAGACACGATTGACCAGACCTCAACCAATGAAATTCATAAGAAATAACTGAATAACATTTAATGTTGTTTTTGGTGAGTGTCCTAGATGTCATGAACATGTTGAAAACCATTATAATAGTGCAAATTAAGATTACAATAGAATGGCCTTGAGCAGAACCCTAAATTTATGCAAATTTTTATATGAGAAATTGGTCTATCCAATTTTCTCTTGTTCAAAGGTACCACCAAAACACAGCAATGTAAGTAAAATCAACTCATAATTTTAGGGTTAACAAAATGTCAATTTAAAAGAAATTTGTACACCTGTAGTTATTATTGTTATGCATTTGGTTTATGTAGATTAGTGGGAGACTGGAGCATGCACAGTTCGAATGTCCACAAAGCAATAAAGAACCCAGCATGATGTCTGTGTACACTCACTAATTATATATAACAATTTAACAACAACAACGAAAAAAAATATTCAAACAAGTCTCTATTTTGTTCCTAAATGATTATCTTGATAAACCAAAAATGTATTTTTTATCAAAATAAAATTCTTGGAACATCTGAAATATTAAAAGAGGATAAATATATTTTGTATGTAAACATATGTGTAATTAGCAATTAATCTATTTATTGAGATTATAAAAATTTCACCATAACATTTAGGTACAGTTAAAGAAATATTAAATAGTAAAGACAAAACCTTTTTGAACTACTGAACACAAACTGAAACAGTTTACATAATAAAGTTCTCTCAGGGATCTTTTAACTTCAGAAAAAATGTTAACCTAGCATTTAAGATTTTGAAATGTTCATAGCTTAGGTTACACAATAGGTAATCTTTACACAACTAAGACTTCAACATGTAAAATCTTTAAGAAAAAAGTCAGAAGTTAACTTTTAATTTGACAAATTAAAGAAATCAAACTTATCAAGATTCTCTTCAAGGGCACAGTTTATCAAAATAAAATATCACCAACTACAAAAACTTTAAGGCAGTAAATACAAGTCTTCTATACCTACATTTGTTTTCCACTGAAAATAAGCCTTTGTTGTGCAGGTGGAATGCCCTCTTTTTCCTCTACCCGTTCCTTAATTCTTTCTACCTTAAAATGGTGCAAAACAAACTGATGATAAAGATATAAGTATTTTCACTGATAACTAGACAATAATGATCAAAATGGCTGAGTTTTAAAGTAGCCTCTGATACAAATTAGTAAACATGGAGGTTGAAAATTACAATCAATCTCGATGGCAAAGCAGTTTGTGACAAACATTTTTTTCATAACTCTACCTGAAAAAACAAATATGGGTAGAGTCACTTGATGCACGCAGACATTAAAGCACGTATGTTCTAGAAATTATGTATTTCTGGAGCCTAATTTATTGGTGGACATAAAAGATTATCTAATTTCAACTTATTTTGTGATAAATATAATTACAACTTTTCAAAAATTATATTGAGAATTAATTTTGTTATGTGTAATCATGCTGCTAGAAATTCATCCCAAAGTTTCTTTTTTTCCATAAAGCATTATATTTACTCACTCAGCTCTTTCAGTAATACATCAGAAATCAATTAGGAGACAGGATGGATATGCTTCAGATAATTGACATGAAAACTACAAATTCTCAGCAGCTTAGTTAGAAATGATTTTAATTACCTAAATAAACATTAAAACAATACTTTATTATTTTCATTATGTCTCACATTCAGGCTTGTTTTGACTTCCATCCATTTCAACAAAAGGAAACACGAGGTAAAGTGTTTAGCCTGAGCTTTGAATATAGGCACATCACAAAACGAACCTACTATCACAAGTTGGGTCAAATATCGTCAACTTATTGAAGAAACAGAATAGAACTAAACAGGTTTTTCATGAGAAAATAATAACATGTTAAAATGAATTGTATGGTAAATTTTAATAATTAAATTACCTAACCAGTGGTATTGCCAACTGTGAGAACTAAAATATAGATTTGATTTTAGTGGTAATATTACCCAATGTCAATTTTTTCTCCTGAGTTAACTTCAATTATTATAAAGTATAAATTTTAACTGACATTTAATAATGTCTGTTTTACAAAAGAAATTGCTACCATGTCAAAAACTTGTACTTACTTTATCTGTGGGTTCAATATCAATCTCAATCTGCAATGAAAAAAATAGACTTTACACTGATGTTATGACAAAACAAAAGCATAAATTATGCCAAAACTGTGCAATTTACAAAAAGCTAAAAATGCAATGTAGTGCAAAATAGAAAGCATCAAAACTTGTACAGGACTAAGTTATTTACTTGAATCTCTCTCTTACGATTGCACTGTCAGAAAAAATCTATTGAGGACAAAAATACATCTTTATTCATGTCATTTGTAAATATGGTACTAAAGAAATGAGTTCTTAAAAAAACAACTTATTTTTTCAATAAAGGATACCACTTTTAATATATAAACACATTAGAGTTTATATCAGCACAATTTGAAAACTTTTCCCATGCAGTACTTTCTAGAAAAATCATTTTTTAGAAAATGTTCACATTTAATAAATTTTTTTCAACGAGGTACAAATACTATGATTAGTAATTATTAACACAAACAGCCACCTGTAGAGTGGCATTTTTGCCAATTATTATAAAGATTATCACTCAAATCATTGTTACATAAAAGACTAACTTAAATTTTAACCAAGGAAATTATTAGTCAGCTCTTTCTTACAACCATCACAGCAATAAGACTACACAATTAATTTCATAAATATTGTAAAAGTATTCTCCCATAAATTTATCGATTTCTATCATAACTGAACACTAATAGATACTAATACTCCTATTTATAATCTACACTAAATGCTAACTTACCTCTTTTCCTGTAAGTGTCTGGCACATCACCATACCAACCAAATATGCAAAAACAAAAAAAACATTTTTCAATAATGAATGACACTGATAAATTTATAACAGACATGAGACATAAAGTGCAGTATAACTGCATTAATCTTTTCTGAAAGCTCCCCCAGATCACTTTATGTATGAAAGATGAATACAATAACAACAAAGATAATTCACATTGTAATAAACTCAGAAGGCACCAGAGTTATGCATTTTTTGATTTTGTATACAAGTATATTTGATGCTTAATTAGTACAGTAATAGGGTGGTTAGTTTTCATTTTGTTACATTATATTAAATGTGAGTTTGAAACACCTATGTATGAAAAGAAAAAACTTTTATTTGCTTGCATTTCTTTTTAATGTGTTACATTTATTACCTTATTTTAGAGTTTTTAGACTTCAAAATGGTTGGATAGCAGACTAGAAAAACAAGGTATTTATTGTGACTGTCTTGTTTAAAATAAAGTTTAGGCTGTAGTCTGCATCTACCTTAGAACCAACAACAAACATTTGCCTCCTCACAACACTGAGAAAACAGGAAACTTAAAAGAACCGTTTTACATAAAAGTCCATCAACCATCCCTGAATCAAAATCAAGGCATGGTTTTCAATCCAACATGCACTCCTTTCCTCTACAGGAAACAGAACCAAACCTTCAGCTCAAACTCCACTTAAGTTCTAATGACCTGTCTCTTACCCAAAACTAAGAACTCTTTACTCTAGCCACATTCCTCCACATGTTAATCCTTCTTCATTTCAGCTTAACTTTTTTTAAAACACATTTCAGGATTCCAGCTCCCAATTATGGCCTCTTTTCAATAATATTTCACAATGCTTAATCAATTACACCTAATGAATATTTGTGCCAGCAACTCAAAACATCATCGAAAAACTTCTAAGGTAAATGGATTCCACAAAGTCTCCAATCATATGTAATAATTAAAGATTCCCCTTTACCTGGAAAATGAGGAATAGCTATTGCATAATACAAATAATTAATGTACAACAATCTCTACATGCTAAGGAAAGGAGAGATAGTCTTTAGTATCATAAACTAATTGGAGAGCTGTCTTCTTGTTTTTTTTTTTGGCCTTGGCTTCAAAACATTATGTGAGCTAGAAATCTTTGGTTCATCTTGGTCAGGAAAGTATGATTTTCATCTATTACAGGTTGTTCCAACATCAGCTTTGCAGCATATTTTTTGTCATGAACATACTGCCTTGAGATGCAATTTTTTAAAAGGTTAAGAATTAATAAAATATAACTATATAAAACAAAAAGTATCTTTTTAAAAGAAGTTAAAACCCACCACAATGTTTTCAAAAATTATTACATTATTTTATAACGAAAAAGATAGAGAAACAAGACTTATATTATCAAGCATACATATTTCAACAGTGTTAGAAGCTTTTGTTCTATATCCCGTTTGTTAAGTACTAATCAAGCTATATGAGCACCAGAGGTTAGACCGAAGACTGCATAACTTTATTTTTTATTGTTTTGCTATCACTCAATTCACTTCCATGAAGAATGATGGACATTTACATTTCACTACAAATAAAATTTTAAGAACTTTTTGCTAATGAATTTGGCAAATATGAAATATAACATTGAATCAATATATATACACAACAATATAAGAACAAAAATTAAGCTTATCTAACAAATCAAACCGACAATTTTTTACACGTCCAACGTTTTTATTTCAAAATTTAAAATATCTGGAATGTTTTTACTATTGGAACACGATACTGCGAATTCACTGGAACTGGAATAAAATGTTATATTTGGTGGAAAATATATTTTTCGTGAATCATTATTTGTTTTAGAAGCCTGAAATTTTACTACCAATACCATCGATAATCATAATATTCACGTACGTCAAAAATGTAGCTAGAACAAGGATCTAACTTCAGTGATGTCAAATATTAATTTATATTTCGTCTAACTTCTAAGTGTAAACCCGGTATTACTATTAGTACTAGCTCTACGCCGTTTGCAGTAATGACCTACAGAAGTTACTGTTAGTGGCTTCTTCTAGTTATTACCTTACCTTTACTTTAATCAACATTTCTAATCAACTTTGATACTAACTTCAACAATGATACACTTAATTTTATATACAAGACTATCTAGAGGGCAGCAGCTGAAATTTCCTCTTCAATACCTCTAGGGATTCCTATTATCTTTTGCCTCAGACAACCCGCTTCACGTTTCACTTTGTTTTACATAGACGGCGCTTAATAAAGAATTATAAATGACGAATCGTATTTAGATTTAAAAACAAAAGTGTATGATTAAACGTATAATATTTAGATAAATAAATTGTATGAGTAAATTTATCATATTTAGACACATAAACGTGTGTAACTTTTTATTTATTGTTATTTATAATACTTAGTTGAACAGCCAGTTACTATTTCGTAAAAAATTTCGAATACACACTTATATATACGCATGACTTCAAATACTTTCTTCAGTGAACCTATTTTTTTATAATAAATAAACAAATTAATGTGTTTACACTATCTCAGTATATATGTCTATATAGATTAAAATGTAAATTCATAAATAGTTAGATCTTTTAATAATGAGTTTTCTACATATATGTAATAAGACAAACAAAAGTCATCATATAATTTGAACAAGAAGTAAACTTAAAATTAAGCGTTTTGATTAAAAGATAAGAAAAAACCTTTATACTCCAGATGATTATAAAAAAAAACTTTTTATTTTAACCAACGTTTCGCCTTTAAGGCTTCATCATTCATGAGGGTTAGTACATACATCTGTTTGATATTAGAATGTTAAAATATTAAAACAAAGCGCGAAAACGTGTGTTGTAAGGTGAGCAAGGTAACATAAATACGTAAGATCTTTGCCTTAAGTCTATTTTTATAATATGGTTACAATCATTCAAAAATCTGTTATTAATTTAATAAATAATAAACAGTCATTATTCCATGGTTGTATCAAAATAAAGATAACTTTTAATCCACTCACCGTTTGGCGTCATTACTAATGAATATGCTCATTCAGACATGTCCTTGTAATCTAGTTATTCCTACGCATTAAATCTTTAATGCTCCAGTAAAAACACGTTATGTATATATGTGTGATTAAATGTAAACCACAAATTCCTTTTGGGTAGCATTTAAATATGTTTCAAATGTTCAGTTTCGAAATATAGTTCAGTTCCTTATATATCATACATAAGATCAAATTAAATCTTATGTCAGAGGCTAGAATCACTCTTTAGTGCAGATTTGTAATTGTTTGCATACAAATAAATAGTATTATAATAAAAGAAAGTCAACCTTATAACGTAGATTTAGTTTAGCACTATACTTTCTCTATGATGTAGTACATTTTTTATCTGCTGGATGACTAAAGGTATGTAAAACAAGTACGTTATATATCAAACATAATTTAAAACGACACTTCCACTTCACAGTTTCACGTGTGTCTTACATCTTATCTACTAGAAAGCTAAATATTGACTTATCAGACATACGCGTGGTATATGAACACGAAACGCGTAGTTTTAATGCTTAGTTATTCAGTGAATAATTTTCCAGTTTCAGGGAGTCAGTGGAGGAAATAAAAGTTTACCCATTAATAATCGCAAGACTATTCATCGTTGTTACAATCTCAGTTCTAGAATAAATTAATATTTTCAATATTTGTACAATAAAATTATACTATGATCAACATTTTAAGAGTTCTAGTTCAGTGTTTTCCTGAACATTGCAAGCTTTGTACATACATTAAACTTTGGTATATCACCAACAACCTTAGCAAATTTATTCGGGTAGTTGTAGGTGTTCTTGAAGTACATGAACTACACAGTGATGTTAAGTTTAGCTTATTAAAATGCCTAGAAATGCTAAAATACGAAGTTTCGGGTTAATGGACTACCATAACAAATCTTATTGTAAGTGCATAGAAAATCAAGTATTAAAACACAAAACAAAAACGCATCCCCCTGAGATTGTGATCTCTTCAATGTGATGTTATTTTAGAAACTTATGTAATAAATAATTAAAAATGAACTCTAAAGAATACATAGTTTGATGATAACAAATATATTACTCTGCATTTATCTTATTTTAATTGCTAATCTCTATATTTCGATATTTTCCATCGACTGTCCTAAAGCTACGAATCTGAATTTTTCACCACCATCCACTCCTTCTTCATGCTCTTCAGTAAGGATCGAGCTCGGCCTACTTTATGTTTCAAAATAACCATTTGTTGTAAACTAATTTTCGTGCATATCAACACAATTAACCTTTAGTAAGTACAATAATTAGTAAATGGAAAATAGATCTTATACTATTCATCTATATAGAAACTTTCTAGTCGTATTTAAGGCCACTATCGGTATTGAAGATAATATATAAAGCTTTACAGTTTATTTGCAAAATGAAATCAGGAGTCAACTTTATTGATGTTGTTAACGAGGGTTGAAACCTATAAAAGTTAAATATAAATATTGTTAGGTTACGGGAAAGAATTGTTTTTCCTTCTAAAAAAGTATAACCTGCATCTCTTATTTCTGGACAATTACATCCCTGAAGTTATTATGTAATAAGCACCAAACGCTCTACAAATGTTTGTAAGTCGTAAATATGTGTTTCTTCTATTAGTCCTGTAATTAGACTATAACTGAAGCTTTCTAAAGCTACTAATTGTACTAAGTAAACATAAGGATAATACTTAAATATAATAGAAACAAACTGCGTGCTTTATCGAGAATAGATTATAAATAATGAATAATTATTCAATGTAAAGTAAATTTGAGGTTTATTCATTGATGTTGTTTTTGAGTCCATTATTGTTTTATAAACGAGATAAAATTCATAAATTCAGTAATAATTATTGTTTTTAAAATTATTGATTTTATTGAACTACCTTACAGCTGATGAACATGTACATATATTTCCTTTTAGCTCCTTCAGTGATGGGAATGTTATCATTTATTATGCGCGGTCGTAGTGTATACAAAATATAAAGTTTTTTCTACCTAATCAAAAGATCCTCTTATCGATTCTGTAGCATTAACAATTTTGAAAAGCGGTTTTTAAACTTCAACACAAGCTGTGATGAGTTTATGCCAAAACTAAGTAGTATGACCATGAATTTTTGTAGTTTAGAAAACTAGCGCCATCTAATGATATGTTTGAGAAATTTATTACCATTTTGCATGTTGACTATAAAAAACAAACACAAATATTTCCGTATCGATCCAAACGCATATAGTTTGGAAATACGGGCGCACTGTACCAGCTAACCCAATTATATCAACACAGTATGTACTGACACTTGAAAACGTTAAATGCAGAAGATTTGGAACTAATAGAAATCAGTCTGTATTTCGACAAACAAAAAACTTTAAAAACAGTGTGTCACTTTGATTAGGTAATTATTTTTATATATAGCTATGCAAGGACTGTTTGTTGAGTTTGTTTTTAAGCCCAATCATGCATAATGGGTTATCTGTGGTCTGGCTACCGCGGGTATCGAAATTCGATTTTTAGCGTTGTAAGCCCTCAGACTCTAGAAATCCAGTGAAGACAGATTTTATAGTTTATAGGGTTACAATTGAAGTCCATGTAACCTACATGATATACATATATTTCTCTTTTTCGAAAATGTTCTTTATTAAACCAGTTACGTAGAATCACAGCTCTACTCTTCTGTATAACTATTATAAAAAAAATAAAGAACAGGTAGAAACTTAAAAAAACAGTATCATTTAAGTATAAATTTCATAGTTTAAATGAAAATAAGGTATAAAATGTAAAAGTTTTTAATTTTTAAAAGACAGGTTACAGAATGAATCATCTTATTACTATAGTTAGAAAAATCATTTAAATAAAATAAGTGAATCTTTAAATTAAAAGTAACATTAAAGTATTCTTGACTTAACGATAACATTAGTACAATACATTACATAAATTAGTACAATACGTTACAGAAATTAGTACAATACATTACAGAAATTTCACAGAATACAGATGTTATTTTTGAAAATTCTTTAATTACTTTGTTCTAAATAACCTTAAGGTTTATTCATCATTACCTACAGCGTAGTTAAGGTACCTCTAAAATACACACTACGGCTTATAACGCGATGAGACAGGGGTAAGTTTACGGACTTGCAGCGCTCAAATCCTGGTTCGTTTCCCCGCTGTGGACACAGCAGATAATAGGATTCTGTAGATTTGCTATGACGCTAAAAGTTAGGTTTTGAGTACAGACAACACATTATGGAGCTTTGTGGTTAACAACAAACAGACCTAGTTATTTACCATTATGTATCCTAAAGACTTTCAAGTAAAGTTTAGAGAAACATCCAAACAAAATGGTCAATAAAGTATTTTTCAATACTTTTTGTTCTCGTCTATTTTCAATACAATTCCTGTTTCCTTTGGAGTCCAATCTCCAGTGTAGTAATTGTTATGTAATACACAGGGAGTTCCTGGTCACAGACTGTAAAACTATTTGAAGCTAACGTAATCTCACATCCAAGTATCTGCATGAAGTCAATTCCTAATATGTACTCTTCCTCCATATTAATTATCCATATATACACCTGGAAAAAAGTTAAGCACCCCTAAATATTTTTCAGGATTGCTTATTGAAAATAAGGTTTAATTTTCATGATGTTGAGCAATGTTCATAATTTCAAACATAATTAAAAGGATGTGAGCGTTCAGGTGTGA